CGAGGGCACAGTGTGAGCACTTCAGGGTGGATAACAGCAGGAGTGGCGCAGTGAGCCACAGTGTCCCCAGTGCACAGAAGCCATTGCCATCCCCTGTTTCTCCCATTTTCTCACATGAGGCTATCCTGGAGCCAGCCTAGCTGTTCTGGCAGCTGAACAGCCCAGATGTGCCCAGCAACACTGGCATGTCCTTCCAGGAGCTATTGCCCTTGGCACCCTCTTACCTCCACAGGGCTGTGGGGTCTGGGGAGATGTGCAGAGCAGCTCTTAGGTAACTGGAGGATACTGGGAGCCTCAATCAAGCCAACTGGAAGGCCTCCCCATTTCAACCAAGTCCTGAAGTCAAAGCTCAGGGAGGGAAATCAAAAATGCAGCCACCTGGGACTCTCTAAGCACACAACAGGGAATGCCAAGGCAAGGAAACTCAGCTGTGAGGATCCCACTCCCAGACAGGAGATTTTTGTGCCAGTGCAGAAACTTGGTGGCCAAACTGGTGAACCAGCTTCTCAGGAGACTCCTGCCCTGGCATTAAAAAGAAGAAACTGTGTTAGAAACTGTTTTTGTCTTACAGCTCTGGAGGGGCTTGGGGTTGAAGGGAAGAGTCCCACAGAGGACAGTTTGACATTCAGCCCCCTGGACTTACACACAGTGTCCTTCAGGAGCTCCTGTCCCCCAGTCCCGGCTGTCCAACAGCTGCCATGTCCAGGGTGGCCACTGTGGCAGCTCTGGGGAGAGCAGACCAGCACACAGAGCACAGCCCTGGAGCCACAGCTACGGCAGAGCCAAGTGGAGGCAGAGGGAAGTGGGGGGGACCAGCATCGAAAGAGGCACAGGGAGAAGAGCAAGGAGCCATGAGCCACCCCACCACAGCAGTGGCCAAGGAACACCTGCACAAAGTGCAGTGGCTGTGGCAGGGCAGTGATGTCCCACCCCTCACAGCCCCATCCCAGCCAGGCAGAGCTGGGGCCTTCCCCCCACTTCACCTGTCCCCAGCTCAGCCTCTGCAGCAGCTCCAGGTCACCTCCTCCTCCTGCTCATTAGCAAGAAGCCAGGATTTGCCCTTTGATTTATTTAAGCACTGACAACAATCCAAAAGTGTTGGAAGCACAATTTTTCACCACTGACTAAAAATAGCCAAGTGAAATTCCAGAGCTGCCTCCCAGCGCCACCGACTGTGCTCGGCTGCCCAGGACAATGGCATTCGCAGCCCGCGAGCAACAACGGCACAGGCTGAGCTCCAGCTCCCAAAATAACAACTTAGAAAGGGCAAATTCTGGCTTTAATTACAGCCAGACAAAAAGTAGTGTTGAAAAAGAGCATTATCAGAATATCTGAGCGCTTGGTGCCAACTTAAACTGAACAGGGAATGCAGTGAGAGCAGGGTGGGTTCACTATGTGAAACGCAAAAATGAGCAGGGATTGCTGAGGGCATGAGGCACAGGCAGCTGAAGCATTTAGATGAGCTGAAGCCCTTTGGCAAAAGTAAAAGCAATGCACTCAGGCAGGCAGCAGGAGCTGACGATGCACTCCAAGCACTGCAGCGGAGCCTCCTTGCTGCACCCCAGCTCAGGTGCACACATGGGCAGGACCCTTGGGGTGTGCTCTGAACCTCTCCGAGAAGCACAGAAGCAGCTCCATGTGACATACTGGATGGAAGCAACACTTTCTTTATTCTCTTGATTCCAGCTAATCAAAATCAGATCCCTTCCAGGGAAATAGCTATTTCCCAAGCCCAGGGTCCAGCAGGCATGTGGGAAGCCATCCTGCCTGGCTCCCAAACCTGCAGCCTCTAACTGCTTGTGGCTGAAGTGCCCAAACTCGGCCCTACAGAACTCCTTTCCCAATTCCATGTTGCAGCACTTGGTGTGCTGAGGGCAGTAGTCAAAGCTCCCAGCTGGGAGCACTGCCAGGTGCTGCTAACCTTTACACAGCAGGAAGAACTCACCTGATGCTCTGCAATCTTCAGTGTGAAAAAAGGCTTGAAATCAGCACTTTTAGATATGGAACAACCCAAGCACAACTGGAACACAAGCCAGGCTGCAACAGAACAGCTGTATGAGGGGCTAAGGGGACCCAGCGACCTGATCTTGGCAGCTGTAAGGAAGAAAACAGTTTCACCACGTCTCTCTCCAGTGGCTTCCTCAGGATAAGGTGCCTCCGGGGGAGTTCCAGGTGTAAGTACCTCCACAGGCAGCTGAAGCGTCCCAGGGACTCCAGCACATGTGGCCAACACACTTGTGTTTTCTCTCTGAAACGTGACGGGGAAGAGACAGGAGAATCAGCCAAGAAGATTAGTGAGGAAACAGCAGCTTCCAAGCATGTCTGGTGTGGAGCACCTGTGACACCAAAGGAGGCAGCTCTGGGCAGCCCTGCACAGCAGCCAGGCTTCGCCTCCTCCTCCTTTTCCCCTTGGAATGCAAAACTGGAAAGCAAAAACCAGGTTTTCTGGTGCTGCCAATAATGGGTCAACTGAGAAATATTTGCGTTTTTTCGAGCAATACATGTGCACATGCCTGGTTACACCAAGCAGGGCGACTGCAGGGGCAGTTTGCTGCTAGCAGCACCTTCTCCCTGACAGTGCTGACCAATGGGACTCATATTTTTCACTTAGTGCTAACCTCAGTTTAATGCTTTTAATTGCACCAGAAGCTGAATGGTGAACAGCTCTCTGTCCCTAGGTCACAGAGAGCAGGAGATTTGTGCATCATTATTTCAGCTCCAGCAGAAATGTCACAATTCCATAATTTCTGTATCAGAGACCTGAGGAGGGCAAGGAAGGCTCTCTACAGCCAAGCAACACCAGCTGAAAGGTGATTAAAGCATCCCTTAACCTTCCAGATATTAATTATGTCTTTTTACATACCTCCTTCCCAGCTGGGGTAGGAGGCAGGTGCTCTCTGGGCAGTCACGGAGAGGTGGGGTGGCCATAAGGGAAACCAGAGGCAGCAGGGCAGGCCACAGAGCACGTATGCTTCTGTCTGGGTTTGTCTCACACCAACAGGTGGGGTAGAAAAGGCTTCTTAAAATAAATGGCCAGGTGTTCTGTGACTGGAGTATGAAGGGCAGGTTTGTGCACCTGCAGGGTATTCTCCATCTGCCTCAGGTAACACTCATGGCATAACTGCCTTTGGACTCGGGTTATTGGATTTTTCCCTCCCTTCTGAAGTCACAGTTTTAAGCTACAGCTTAAAATAGCAACTGAGTGTTCTGGAGAAGCACAGAATCACTAGGGTTGGGAAAAACCTCCAAGACCATTGAGTCCAAGCTGTGATCCATCGCCACCTTGTCAACGAGACCAGAGCACCGAGTGCCACATCCAGTCATTCCCTAACACCTCCAGGGACAGTGACTCCACCACCTCCCTGGGCAGCCCCTTCCAATGCCTGACAGCCCTTTCAGTAAGAAATTCCTCCTGATGTCCAATCTGAACCTCCCCTGGCACAGCTTGAGGCCATTTGCTCTCATACTGTCCCTTGTTCCCTGGGAGCAGAGCCTGACCCCACCTGGCTCCAACCTCTTGTCAGGGAGTTGTAGAGTCATCAGGTCACCCCTGAGCTGCCTTTTCTCCAGGCTGAGTCCCTCCAGCTCCTAAGCCACTCCACATGTGGCTTCCTCTCTAGATCCTTCCCCAGCTCCATTCCCTTCTCTCCCACACGCTCAGCCCCTCCATGTCTCCCTTGCAGTGAGGGGCCCAGAACTGGACACAGAACTTGAGATGACTCACCAGTGCCCAGGACAGAGGGAAGACATGTCCAGAGAGAAACACACCTGCTGTCTCCAAACTCCAGCACTGACCTGAAGCTGGCACTGAGATGGGAGTACAAAGGTGTTCCCTGAACTAAAGAAAATAAACCAAGAGTCCGTACTATACTCTTAAATATGGTTTAATACTCTTCTCCATTTCTGTACATCACAACACCAAGATACCACTGCTTGGGATCTCTCTGCAGAGGCTATATAGTATGCGAAGGCTAGGAATTTCCACCCCCGTTGAACGTGTTTGCCTAAGTGTAATACATATCAGTATATATTGATATACACATCAATATATAATGCAATATATATCACTGAAGAGAACACATTGATTAAAGAAATACAAAAATTTGGCATCATTTCCAAACTTAAATAGTAAAAATAAAAACTACAAAAAGGAGCTGCATACCCTAATGTATCATGTGAAACAACAAGCAGTATATTCAAAAATGTAAATTTACATCCAATTGTTGTGGTCTTGTCATGTCACATTAGACCCATTTACAATGGCAAAATCCAGAACATACCACTGTGAGCGCCACAGGTGTGCTCAGACCTGGGTCTGGGTACATCTATGGCAGACCCAGTCCCACCTTCCGTGAGATTCCAGCTTGAATGTGAGAACCTGCCAGGTTAGGAACCAGGGACACCAATCATACTGCTCACAAGGACACGAATTTTGGAACTCAAAGAACAGCATGGCAGAAATGTTAAGACAAGTTCCTGCTCCGTTCAAGTGACCCAGGCCTGTAGGAAAAGAGGCAGATATGCAGCTTGGAACAGGAGCTGCTGGCATACGACCCAGGCACGGCCATGGCAGAGCCTGGGGCAGCACCTGGAGCCCCTGGGAAGGAGCAGGACGTGTGCCTGACCTTGTGCCAACATTCCCCTCAGCTACAGGATCCCCCAAAACTGGAGCCAGTGCCAGCAGGTGGGACTATGGCCTGGAGCAGGCAGTACAGAGAGCAGCCAGAGGTATAACCCATGCAGGGCACATCAGACTCAGGGGACAGACTGCCTCAGTGCTGCGACACGGGTGTCCCCAGGGGCTGTGCCAGCACTCCACACACTGGTGCCAAATGTTCCACACCCGTCACTAAGGGTTCAGCCTTCACTCAGTATTCCTGCAAAACACCCACTTTTATTACAGAACTGTGGGCTCAAATTCACATAATCAAGGAAACCTTACGCAGTCCTAAAGCAAAAAGAAAAACTGACTGAGGAACAAAAAGCCAAGTGTACCTTACTCCACTGAAATCTCACCTTTATTTTTATCAAGACTGAAAAAAAATTAATAAATTCCTGAAGGCTGCACTGCTCAGATCCAAATTAAACTCAAGACTTCAGCAGCATTTCCATTGCAATCCATGAAGTGCATTTCCTAGTTTCTAAGAGCAGTGTTTCTGCAAATAGATTAAAGCACGTTTGGCTGGTGAGCCTCCTCAAACCACCAGAATTTGCAAGCCACACATTATAAACTAGCACTCAGGTCAGTGCCTTCTCAAGGTTTTGAAGAGAATAACAGCTCCAACCTTGTTGCATTTCTTCTGCAGTCTAAGCTGAGAATGCCATGTAAATGGGTCACAGCGCTGCAAAATGCAGCAATTGATTTCTCCAATCAAAGTGTAAAGAAACAAACCAGTAGGATCTTACTTCTATTAATTTTTGAAGGAAGAAGTTTACAGCAGTTAATGTATCATGAAGGTTAAAAAAAATCATTTCCATAAAATACAAGAGCAACCAATTTCACCATTGAGTAAAAGTAAAAACTGGGATTCTTTTTAAATTAGTCCAAAGTGGCATATAGGAACTTAGTAGTTTGCTGCTGTACTGACACTATGACAAATCAAAGTGTAGGGTTTTGCTTTTTTTAATCCAATGTTTGTGGATCAAGTTCTGGAAATGTTCCAATTCTAAGGCAGGGATCTGTTGTGTTTTCCACCATGAGTTTGCTCCTTGGGTTGGATGCTGGAGGGGTGAGGCACGTGTTGCCGGACCCAGGTCGACTACCTAGTAGTCATCGAGGTCAAAAAATTCATCATCTCCTCCTTGGTATTCCATTCCCTGGAAGTCCACTCGGTACCGCAAGATACCTGGCAAAAACAACAGGCTTTAGCTTCTGCAGAATTCCCAGAGCTACAAAGGCAGTTACCCAGTTTCCCCAGCCCTGTCTGCACATCGGAGTTTCTCAGCTCATGCTCAGGAGCCAGCCCAGGCTCAGGCCGAGGGCTCAGAGCAGACATGCAGCTGCAGTCAAAGGTGCCACATGGCATTCACTGCCAAAAGGAAGCAGTACCCAGCGGCCCAGCTTCCTCCTGGAACAGCTGAGCCTATTCCAGAATCATACGACAGGATCACAGACTGGTTTGGGTTGGAAAGGGCCTTAAAGCTCATCTCATTCCACCCCCTGCCATGGGCAGCGACACCTTCCACTAGCTGAAGTTGCTCCAAGCCCCATCCAACCTGGCCTGGAGCACTTCCAGGGACGAGACAACCACAGTTGCTCTGGGCAACCTGTGCCAGTGCCTCAGCACCTCACAGGGAAGAAATTTTTCCTGTTAAGTTCTTCTAGGGCTGTATCTGCCCAGAACTACCAGTAGCAGATCACTAGTTCCAATGTGGCTGCCCAAAGGCCTGAATGCAGCTGGCACTGAAGTTACTTTTACAATGCAGTAAAAGCAGGGTCTAGTTGCTGTCTTCCTGGACTCTTCCCACTCCGAACACCAATCCAGGGTTCTGGGAAGCCTGTACCCCTGGAAACATGTACCGAGGCAAAGGGCATTTTTAAGGAGTATTTCCTTTCAAGTGTCCAAGGCACAGCAGCACCATAAAGAGAGGCTGGATCTGGCAGAGAATGAAAGACTCCAGGAACTCCAAACTCTGAGAACTTAGAAACTCCTTATGTAGCCAAACAATCCAAGCTTGTTTCCTTACATCTGGTGTTCTCTGGGCCCTAAAAGTTGCTCTTTACAATACTCTCATTTCTGGTTTACATCCATCCACCTAAGCACAGCCAGAGGCACAGCTGCTTTACCAGGAAAGCAGCACTGGCATTGTCCTGGAATCCCTAACCTGGGCAGAACAAGGAACACAGCAGGTGGGTTTGCTCTCCTCTGCCAATTATTCTGGTCAGACTGAAGCACTTGTGCCAGACTTGGCTAGAGCTGGTCAGTGAGCTCAAGAGGAAGACTGAAGCCTGTCAGAAGTCTCATTGCTCCATGAATTTGGACTAAAAATACTTTTACTTTGAAAATAAGGGGAAGGCTGAACAGCAAAGTACAGGGAAGGTCTGGGAGATGAGTAACAGAAATCCAACTGCTTCAGGAACTGGGCTGGGGTTTGTGAGACCCTCCTTGTACACAGCAGGGCATAGGCTGCCACCAAACAGCTGTGCAGAGACAGTGAGGCAACTCACAGCCCTTCCGAAACCCAACAGCTAGAAAGCATGTCAACCCTCCCTTTGAGCACCCTGGAGGACAAAGGGATTGAGGGACACAATCACAGAATCAGTTAGGTTGGAAGGGACCACAGTGGGTCATCTGGTCCCACCTCCCTGCTCAAGCAGGGCCATCCCAGAGCACATGGTTGGATAGTGACAGTTGCATATGGAATGAATTCACCTGTACATCCCTGGTGAACACAATTGTTTCTTGAACCAATTTCACGGCTAATAGCAGCAAGATTAATCCCACTCATGTTGGCACCAGACTATCCAATCGACCACTAAAAAAGACATTTTTCCCTTGCAGTTTACCTCCAATTCCTCCAAATCCTTTCACAAATTGAGATCCTTCCTGTGATTTGTCTGTAACAATTTCCAATGTTGCTCCAAATTTCTTGTAGTTGTTTGCAAACCACTCCAGGAGGGGCATACTTTCTATCAGTTCATGTTCCTGCCCAGTCTGTGGAGACATTGGAAGGGAGAAATGAATAATACAAACTGTTACGGTCACTGCACGTTTGGGATTGAGGAAATTCACACCACAAGATGGCTTTGGCTTGAACATCACCACAGTTCTGTCAGTCCTAAGAGGGACAGCAGCCTTCATGGCTCCTCAGGAAGCTTCGCAGTGCAAGAGGCATCCCTGACACAACTGTGTCAGACAAGTGCTGGCACAAGCAGGAGGCTCCTGGTGCTGCAAAATTAAACACCAACAGGCCTTGTTTTGGGCCTCTCCCATAAGGAATTTAGTGCAGAAGTAAGAGAGAAAATGCCTTGTTTATTCTTCTGCTCAAGTGCCACCTCATGCTACACCCCTGGTTTGCACTGTTCCTTTAGGCTTGCTCTACACCCTGCAAATATTTCAGCCCCACTCATCCAACAAGCACTGCTTCCAGCCAGAAACACTGATCCCTGCAAGTTCAGAGGCAGAAAACACAGTCTTGGATGTAGAAGATCAGATGATTATGGGCATAGAAACACATCATTGCACATTACATTGTAAACCTTCTGTGCACAGAAGGAATTGGCGATTCCCCCCTGGGGGCTAATGGCCACCCCTGGCAGAACTCAGAGGTGACCACCCTTTTGGCAAGGGACAGACTTTTCTGCCCAACTCACTCTGCAAAGTAATCACAGAATCACTGAGTATCGTGAGATGGAAGGATCTAACTCCTGCCCTCCACAGGACACCCCAACAATCCACCCTGTGCCTGAGAGCATTGGCCAAACACTCCTTGAGCTCTGTCAGGCTTGAGGCTGTTACCACTGCCCTGGGGAGCTGTTCAGTGCCCAAACACCTCTGGGGGAAGAACCTTTCCCTAATATCCAATCTACCCCTCGCTCCAGCTGTTCCCTTGGGTTGGGTCCTGGCTCACAGAGAGCAGAGCATCAATGGTGCTGCCCCTGCAATGTCCCTTGTGAGGAAGCTGCAGATCATGGTGAGCTCTGACCTCAGTCTCCTCTTCTCCAGCTGAAGAAGCCAAGTGCCCTCAGCCACTACTCATGTCGCTCTTCTAGGCCCTTCCCCATCGTCCCATCCCTCATCTGGACACACTGTAACAGCTTCAAATCATTCTGATATTGTGACATCAATGGTGCTGCCCCTGCAATGTCCCTTGTGAGGAAGCTGCAGATCATGGTGAGCTCTGACCTCAGTCTCCTCTTCTCCAGCTGAAGAAGCCAAGTGCCCTCAGCCACTACTCATGTCGCTCTTCTAGGCCCTTCCCCATCGTCCCATCCCTCATCTGGACACACTGTAACAGCTTCAAATCATTCTGATATTGTGACACACCAAACTGTCCCCAGGACTTGAAAGGAGACTGCTTTAGAGCAGAGCAGAGGGGACAATCTCCTCCCTCGCCCACCAGAGACGCTGGGCCTGATGCTCCCCAGGACACTGATGTCCCTCCTGGCTGCCAGGGCAGTAACACAGACCCCCTGCCCCATCAGGGCTTTCTGACCTGCACAGGCAGGAAACTCACAGGCAGTGAATGACAGATCCACACTTCAAACATATCTAGAAGTGAACACTCCCTTGCACTTAAATCCATGTCGTGATTTCTAACCTCACAGTGGTTCTGCATTGACCAAATCTGCACAGTAAGCAGAGAGCAATGGTTTTGGACCTTGGCCTGCATGTGGCATGGTGCCTACCAAACTCCTGCAGTAGATGGTCTGATGGTGGCTGAAGTCCCCGTATTCCCTGTCAAATCAACCCATTTACACACCCTTGGAATTGGCAGCAGGGAAGACTGGAGAAAAGCAAGTCTAGAATCCAGGGGTTACACTGAAGGTGAACAGGAAGAGCCACAGGTTGCTGTCCTGAAGTCTCATCTGAGTGCCAGAAGGTCATCATGCTCACGCACTTCTGACAAACTAAGCCCAGATGTTCAGAATGCTGCACCAGTACACTGAGGACAAACCCACAAGCCCCAAAGTTGAAATACCTCCTTATCTGTGAAGTGGGATTTATCCTTCTCTTGCTCTGGTGTCAAATACAGGATCTTCTCCTCTACAAAGGGAAAAAGTGGTATTAGGTTGTATAAGGCTACCAGATGCAGGTTAAAGGCAGAAAGAGCTTGACAACAGCCAGCAATTACAACACAGAGGGTCTGGTCACTGGCACTGACTGGAGCTCTTCAAGACACCAAACCGGCCATAGCAGCAGAGAGCAGCTGTGGGGCCAACACAAAAAGAGGGTGAGGTCCTTCTGTAGGTGTAGGGTTTGTCTGTAGTCAATAAGGATTATACTTCTGGCCATAAGGGTCAAGTCTCCCCTCTGGGACCACTTACACAGCTGGCAGGCAGGTTCATGCTGGCCTGTGACAAGCTGCCACCCCAGCACTGCAGTGGAACCTCTTTCCCCCAGAGGAGCTGGGAAGCTGCAGGTGAGTGACCTCCCTACACAACATCCCTGTGATCAGATCTCCTGTGGGAGTTCCTCCAGCGTAACCTATCCCAGTGAGACAGTTCTGGTGTTAAACCCTCAAGGACCTTTCAGTCTCCCAAAGCACTACCTACCCTCTGTGCCTTGGCAGTGCAGGACATATCTCATTATATCCAGGTTTTCATAGACTATCAGTATCTCTACTGCTCCCATTTCCAAAGCTTTTAGTGTATCTTCCACGCCAAAACAGTACTTCCCCGTGTCCTGGCTGATTTCGTCGAAGTATCGTCCTGCAGCCAAGGTACAAAAAGAGAGAGACTGTCACCAACGCTGGTCATGGCACATAGATTGTAAAACAAGCTTGACTCGAATGTGAGAAGAAACTGGAAAAGACAACTGTCACCAGAAGGCCTGGAACTGAGGTGATCTCTGAAGGAGAGAGGAGGTCCAAGAAGTCTGGTGGGGAAAAAAACAACAAAAGCTCCCACACCCCAGCATTTGAGGTGTCCAGGTAAATCCAGAGAATCACTAAAAATCAGGCTCTGCCCAGCTCAGCCAGCATAGCAGGGCTGGGGCAACACACGAAGGCAGCCCAGGAGGTCCAGAGCAGGACCAGCACAGTCAGTCTCACCCATCTGGCTCAGGAGGCTGCACATGCAGTCACATACCTATTAGTTTCTTCTCCTGGATGAATTTCACATTGGAGAGGACCTCAGTTGACAATTCGATTGCTTGATTGAACCCATTTTCTCCTCCATATGAAATGTCAACTAGTTTGAGCACTTTGGATTGCAACCGCTGAACAAAGGAAAGAGGAGACATGAAAAAACATTTGTTACAGAGCAGGACCTGCCCTGAGAGTCTGGGCCTGGCACCAGTTACTGCAGTCATCTGCTGTGCTTTACCTGGGGGCACCAGCCCCGAGTCAGAGGCACCTCTGAAGGCACAATATTGAGATTAGGTTTACAGGAGTTTAATTGCAATAAAGCTTCTACTTTAGCTGTGGCAACACAAAGAGCATGAATGCCAGTTCCAAACCAAGGAGGACAGGTTTCTTCTTAGTTTTACAGCATGTTAAGGAGCTGGAACTGACCTTACACATCATCCTGCCCTGGGCAGGGACACCTCTCACCAGACCAGGCTGCTTAAGGCTTTAGCCAACCTGGCTTTGAACACTGCCAGGGTTGGGGCAGCCACAGCCTCCCTGGGCAACCTGTGCCACTGTCTCCAGTTCCTAAAAGAGTCCCTCTCCAGCTTCCCTGGAGCCACTTCAGATACTGGAAGGTTGCTATGAGGTCCTCATGCAACCTTCTCTTCATTAGCAGTGTTTTAAGAAAAGGAGATCTTCGCTCCTTGCAGGAGGTATTAGGAACATGAGACCTCTTTGGATACATCAGATTTTTAGTTTTGATCAAATCACTTCAGAACCCAAAGCTACATTCCTTCCAAGGAGCATATTAGAGCTCCCGCCAAGATCACCATGTTACTACTGACAGCTTAAGCATTTGCGCTTTGCTCAAACAAGGCCACTCACCTGATCAAACATATCAGACTGACTTAATTCAGTTTTGAAATCAGCTGATCCAGCTAAAACGAGCCCAGCCACGTTCACCTTGTCCCCAGAGATGAAGAGCTGCACAGCTGTCTCTGCCACCTTCCGCACATAGTTGTGTCGCTTCTCCATCCTCAAACGAGCGAAACGCAAGGCAGACTGACCTCCTCTACCTGCACCACAGAGCAGAAGTGAGGCAGTCACCTGGAAGCATTTCACTCCAGGAAGGTTATTAGAACATGGCCCCAACTGGGCCCTGAATAACCAAAGCCAAGTGCAGCTGCAACCTTCAGAATTCGCTTGCCACCTGCCACGCCAGGGGCACTAATGGAACAGTCAGAATAAAGAGGGTTCATTCATAGCAAAACATTTCTCTCCACACATCCCACAGAGGAAAATATATTGATTTTCTTTTCTTTATAAATAGACTCACCTCTGTAGAAGGTGTGCACATTCTCCATGTCCTGTACCTTCATTAGGAGCCCTTTCTTTTGTTCCACGGCCTCACATCCTGCTGGTGCAGTGCAGCCCAGCAGCCTCTGCTGCACCATTTTACTGGGGGAAGAGGTTTCTATTGCATTTTGTCTCATCCTACTCTACAAAGGACAGTAAGCCAGGAGCAGGTAACCACAATTTGCTGAATTCACCAGCAGCTGGCTGCAACACAGCATCATAAACTAGAACTTGAATTTTCCTTGCTCCATGATACTTCTGTGCTTCTTGCAGGGAAGAGCTCCTTGCTCATCACTGTGGTTTGCAAGCCACACCATCAGATGCAAACTTTAGGACTATACCAAGAGGGATTACTACTTGCACTAGTAATATTAAGTTCAAATTGTTCTATAACCAAGTAAAGGGTCAAATACACTGAGAAATAAAAAGTGTCACTTTAAGATCAACCGCATATTACTGTGACTCATTAATTCTGACAGAAGGCTCAGACTAGAGGCTTTGCTGTCAGATTCCAAGGCAGCAAAAACTTGAGTAGAGCTAAACCCCTACAGGCCAAGTTCCCTGATTTCAGCCTCACATCCCACCCCAGGACATGCTGCTGCCAACAGTCTAGAGACAGACTAGTGCATTACCATGCTTCTTTGGAAGATCCACAGTGAATTTGTGCAGGACTTCTCGTGTGTTTCCTTGAAGAGTTCCAAAGAGTGCCCCACTACCATCTATTACAATAAAGCCAAACTTGCTGTCGTCGGAGAGCAGTGCTGTAAGGGCCTGGAAAAGAGAGCAGGTGTCAGTGAGAAGCAGTGCTCGGGACCCTGGCTCAGACAGGCCACCAGAAACAGTACACATCAACCAATTTTGGTTCCATAGATGGCCATTGCTATTTTTTTATGAAGAAATTAGAGGAAGAGCAGCAGATTCAGGAGTTGTGACTGTCCCAGACCACTACAGAATCACAGAACCCCAGACTGGTTTGTGTTGAAAGGGAGCTTAAAGTTCATCCAGTTCCACCTCCTGCCATGGACAGGGACTCCCTCCACCAGCCCAGGATGCTCCAAGCCCCATCCAGTTTGGCCTTGAAAACTTCCAGGGATGGAGCAGCCACAGCTTCTCTGGGGAACCTGTGCCAGTGCCTCCACACCCTCACAGGGAAGAATATCTTCCATATATAATCCTGTCTCAGACAACACTGACAAGAGCACAAAGGAAACTCAAGCTTAATTTTGATCACTATTTCCCCGCCTTGCCAGTTCCTCACCTGAGGTCACAGCCAGGGGTAACAGCCAAACCCTAGAGATGGGCTCTTGAAAACATGAAATGAAACAGATCACACCTCTATGAGGCTGCAGTACCTCTCTGGCTGGCACAACTGGAAGATTTATTTTCCTAGCATTCCAGCCAGGAAAGCAGAACTTGGTCAGTTCACTGTCAGTTCAGTTTTGCACCAGAGCGCTCACACAGCCTCTCAACTTGCCTCTACCACAATCACTGGTTTCTGCACCTGCTGACTTCAAGTCTCAGAGGCAGAATGATGAAATCTACAGTGGCTGTGGCAGATTCTGCTTTACAGGGCACAAGTAACAGCAGCAATAATTGTCCGGTGCGTAACTGGCTATAGAGAAGATAGCCATACATTTGCTAAAAAATTAAGTTATCTTTCAATTTTCTTCCCTTTAAAGAAGGCAGCACAATTCATCCCATCAGGTCATTTAAGCTGACCAACAACTAAAGCTTTGAGTAGTATCCAGGGGTTTGAGTTGCTGTTGTCCAGCTTCCAGCCCAGCCCTGCTGCTGGTGCTGTGGGACATGCACAAGCACCCGAACTCTGCATTACTTTGAGGCAATCTGTAAGCTACTGTTCCCTCAAGGGCTGCCTGACTGGGTAGAAACATCCAGCACAGACAAACACACACACTCCTGCTCACTTATACATGCCCCAAAAGAAGTAATAGCCAGAATCCTCTTTCTGCCTGGCAAAACCACATCAGTAGGATGGAGAACTTGTCAACCTCCAGATTGCTTTAAGTCACTGCTTTAATACTGAGAGTGATGGTGCTGGTTTAGTGTGCAGGACCTTCAGCTGCCTGCCAGCCTGATCACTGGGCTGAACGGAAAGGATAAAAACCATCAGCCATCTTCTTCCAAAATCCACACAACCAAGTCCTCAGTCTTCAAGCTTAAAAGAAACAGAGGCTAAGGTTTAATGGAATCTCCTGGCCAAAATAAGTATTCTGTATTAATTCCTCAGCAGCAGGATGAATGAGAGGAGGAAGTGGCATATTACATTGCAATCTATTTAACTGGGACAGAGCCAAGCAAAGCTTGTGACTGGAATGAGTGCTCCAGCCAAGGTATCAAAATTGTAAATCCTACCCCTCAGACACACACACCAGGGCTCATATCCCCTCGGGAAGTTACTTCAGTTTCACACAGGCAATAAAATATCCAGAGGAAATCTTATCAGATACTCTTGCTAGGCAGCAGATGACTACAGCTCTAATGTTCTTAATTCCCTCTTATGTTAATACAATACCCATGATCAGTGATTCTCTGTCTCCCTTTATTAGTTCTGTGTCACCAATTCCATTGTTCCACCTATCAAGCACCAAAAAGAGACTATTGCTTTTATCCTGTTCCTTCAGCCTGGACCAAGTTTCCTCTTTGCAGCTCTAGCCTAAAGGTGAAGATCACCTGCTTTTCCTGCCCCTTCACACATGTTCACTTTCCTAGGAAATCTGTGGATGTCCTGAACCAGCTGCCCTGTTAGCTCAAGGTGCATGTTGGGGGAACCTCTGGGTTAAACGCAGGGATCCACAACCAAAGAGACAGACAAACCCAGGCTTCAGTGCTCACTTCACCTCCTTGCTCAGGAGAGCACACAGTAGGCTTCTACAGCGCCACTGGGTTCTGCAGCGCAGGCAGTACCCAATAAAATTATCACAGACTCCAAGGGGAGAGCACAGAGCACATGGAGGGAGGTGCTGTCAGTAATCACATTGATCACAGACTCCAAGGGGAGAGCAGAGAGCACACGGAGGGAGGTGCTGTCAGTAATCACATCATCGGGAGCAGCAATTACCACAGATTCCTCTCAGGTCACTGCCACTCTCTTGCTGAGCAATGCCACACACCAGCAGTGTATTTAGAGCTGCCTCCTGGGAACAGCCTGCTGGGCACTTCTGTATTGAATCAGTGCCCTGAGGCAGGAGCTGCAGAGGAGACCAAATTAATCCCTTTCCTGACAGGGCAGAAGGCAACCCCCCACTGTCCCTCTGCCAGCAGTGGCAGGGACAAACACCTCCCCTAGCTTGACCATCTCTGGCTCTCCGCTGAATCCTCTTATTTACCCCTTGCTTTCAATTGACCGTGGACACATGGACTCAGCAGAACTGCAGACCTGTCGCTGTGCACAGTTTTGTTATTCCTGGTAGACCACAGACATGTTGGGATTTCATATTTTGTGGGGAGACAAACACCAGGGATGTGCCTCACCTGTGCAACAAGCATACCTTTCCTTCCTGTGCTCCTACTCTTTGAAATCCAGTTATGGAAAAGATCTCCAAACACCCACACGAACAAGCAGAACTACATCACTGAAGGACCTGTCAAATCCCTGTCACATGGGTTTGACAACAGGCAATTAAGTCTCAGTCCACATGGTAAATGCCATTGGCATAAGCATCTGTCAGTCACCTACTACAAAGACTGAGACCTCTGCACCTGCCAGAGCCAAAACAGACTGAGAGGCAATAAACTGACTACTATAATCCACATTACTTTAAATATGCCTCAAACCACTCCTTTAACTAAGATAATTAAATGTTGGATAAAAGTAATCCCACTTTACCACAGACTGATTAGGCTCATGCCAGTTTTCCATCAAGGGTCTCAGTTAACACATTTGATATCAAGACTGGCAACACTGATGTTAGCTTGGCATTACTTGAAGGCCTGGCTTGGAATAAGACCTATGGGCCTCTACAGCTAAGGAAAAACCACCCTGTCTTGAGTTACAGATAGAAGCTCATGTCTGTGGGTTCCACACACTCAGATTTAGGGGCTGGCCCAGGACATCAGCTGTGGCAAGAGCTGGACAACATCTCAAGAGCTTTCAGCAAGCATCACACATTTCTGGGCAGTCACAAGCCATCCAGTGGCCTCACCAGAGGACGTGTTCCTCAAAGCCTGCTGTTCTACAGGCCCAAGCACACCAAGAGTTGTTCCAGTAAGCCCAGCACAGCAGGCTGACTTTGGCTATGCAATAGGGGAGCTCTTACCTCTGTGTGGAATTTGTTGTCACACAAATACAACGACGTATTGATTGGTTTGAAAGGTTCGAAGTCAATGTTGACTTTCTTCTCTTTTCCTTCTTCTGTCACAATTGTTCCACAGTAAACAACCAGACCATTTGGAGGTACTATAAACAACACAAGGCAGTTTTGGGTCACTCAGAAATATGTCAAACTGTTCCCATCAAAAACTAACTGCCAGGCCTTGAGACTTAAGAGTAGAGTTGAAATTCAAGTTCAAGCTTTTTACTTTCCCTTTTCCCCCACCTCATTCCCTCCAGAGCTCTACCAATGGAAAACATAGATATGATGGAAAGACTTGCAGCAGAGCTGCAAGAACATGCACCTGTCTGTTTAACCCATGAGCCTGCAAGCTCATGGCATCCAGAAAAAGGCAGACCAGTGCCGTGAGGCTTTCCTAGTCCTTACACAGTGATTTACAGAGTGACCATCCCAAGGAAGGCCATGTGCCAGCGTAAAGGCAGTAACAATGAACTCTCCCAGTGCCTGCATCAGCTCCCTCCCAAAGTGATGGCAGCTGCACAGTGCCATGCATAATGCATACAGAAGTTTCAGCCTGATGGAAGATCACCAATGCAAACGAACTATTGCAGAATAAACAGCTCTTAAATCTGGCCAAGTGTAGCAGAGTGAACACACCTAAGGACAGGATCATGAGCCTGCTGATTAAAGGCAAGGACCACCTTACTACTCTAGTCCCAAAGTCCACCCCTGAAGAAGCCATCCAAGGGCAACATACCTGGAATATCAGTGCAAAACAGCAGCACAGGCCAACAGATTTGATTAGCAGAAAACTGCATAGTGCAGGAATTTAAGGCTGCTTCCAAGAAAGGGAAGTGTGCCAGGATCCATACAAGCTAGGAGTTACCTTTGTTATAGAGTTTCAGTCTTTGCTGTACAGATGTAATGGCTCCCAGCACTGAAAGGCGATTCACTCGGGACTTAATGTTGGAGGCAGTGCCAAACTCATCCGCTAGCATTTTTGCCACTCGCGAGATCTGGTCTTTGGGAGGAATGATCAACGAGATCATGCTGGTACCATTGCTGAGAAGGGAAAAGAGAAGGGTTGTGAGTAGCCAAAGCAGCAAACCTACTCGCACCATATTCCATGCATGCAGTTGTCTCTCCTCCCTCCCTCCAAGGATGCTCCTTCACTCTTCCCAGTGTAATTTCCTTCTGCTGGACGATAATGGGAGAAAAGAAAATGAAACAGGCTCTTCAGAGAATGTGACTCCACAACCCAGTGTTCAGGTTAGCCACTACCCAGCAAGTCCTCCAAAAGCTGCTTGTTTAACCTGGGATACTACTCTGAAAAAGAGCACACATGCACCGACTGAGGCATGGAAGCAGCTCCCAGCAGAGATTATTTAAAACAGTGCAGCCACATACTTTAAAGGACATTTCAAAGCCCATTCCATTTGTTCTCAGACAGCTGGAGCACTAGGCAGCCCAAGCACTGTTTTAACGCTTTGTTCTCCTTGAATTAATACAGAAAATGGAACTGGAATGATCCCTTGGCAGCAGACATCCCTTTCTGCTTCCCCACTGGCGCTTCGCTCCCCAGAGCAGCTCACCAACTCCGGCAGCTGCTTAACTGAACTGTGTGTAAGCACACGACTGCTGGTTCACAAGCACCAACCCCAGGCACAGTCAGGAGATAAGACCCTACAAACCACAGGACAGGCTTAAATGAAACGAAAATAAGCTTGATACTCATTTTTCCTATGGCTTTGGGGTGGATCCTGCACAGGTCTTAATCCCCAAAGCTGCCTCATGGTTCCAATCCATCCAAAGGCAAAATGAGAATTGAGGAAGCTCCCATCTACCTTCCAGCAGGTCCCTCTCATTTGTCATTGAAGTATCCCAGCAATCTGAAGTGCTGCTTCTGCATTGTCTCAGGTTTAACCCAGACCTCATGCCTCCCATCAGAGTAATGGCACAAAAATGAAATACCTCATCGGATCCTCTAGCCCTCTGAAGGGCAAACCAGCTAAGCTCTGTGAAAAAACCTCTCCTCAGGATTCTGAGTCAGAGAACAAACACAGTGCTTTTCAGACATCAAAAAACAGGGTGTTACTCTTTTACATTTCTTACAGGAGGAGAAGACTAACACAACACCTGCCTGCTGCTGTTTCAGACTGTCATGCACTAATGTCCTGCCTGAAATGTTTGGGCTACAGAGGCAGCAGGGAAGTGCTTTAAAAAGAATCACTTCATTAGCCTCTTTACAGAAGTTGTACAGCCCTCTCCCAAAGATGCTCAATCCAGGCCAATGTGAAATGGATCCTGGTAGGTCAAATAAGTCCCTGACCTTAAAGACAACTAATTAAGTTTAATATCCAAGATCCTCACACACACTAATCAAGGAAGTCGCCAAGAGACAATTGCACACGTTATTCCCAGAAGGAGCTTTGAGCCATGCTGACAGCTCTCAGGCTTCCAGGTCACACCAGCCAGGAACACTCCATATCCCACTCAATTAAAGCAGTTAGCTACCCCACCGAATGGCACAAGCCTTAGGGGAGAGATAATGGCCTATCACTCCCAGCAGGCTGCTTTGAGGAAGAGGCTGATCAGAATGAAAGCAACTCTTCCTGACTTCTCTGAAAGTAGCATTTGAGTTATCTCTTCCTCTGAAAGAAGAAAGTCTCAGACTCCCCAGAGATTAGAAAAGCTCTGCACATCACACCTAACTTTCTCCATCAACTAAGGGCATCCCCATGTGAGAGGTGGGAGATGGGACTGCTATGTCCCTTGGGCACTCCATGGCTCTCCTGCTAGGAAGAGACTTGATACAATTTTTCCTGAATCAAGGACAGAGGGGAAAGAGCAGACAGTGAGTCCCGTCACTGGTTGCCTGGGAGAAGAGGCCCACCCTCCACCTACAACCTCCTGTAAGGGAGCTGTAGAGAGCAAGAAGGTCCCCCTGACCCTCCATGTCTCCAGGCTGAGCCCCCCACAGCTCCCTCAGCCACTTCTCATAGCACTGACTCTCCAGCCCCTTCCCCAGCTTCGGCATTAGCAAGCAGGAAGGCTGTGTGTGCCCTCCCAAGATCAATTCTCAGTAAAAAGAAAACATTTATAAAGCTACTTTCAGTTTTACAATGCAAACCACCTCTCAGATCCCAGGCCCTGGCCTCGTGCTGTGTCCCACTGCCCTGAAACACTGGTACCACAGAGCCAATGGTGTGCACTGAGCACCCACAGGGTCGTCCTGGGGCCATGGGAACTGGGGATCACTGATACCACACAGCACCTTATCTGTCAGGCAGAGCCCCATTGCTGTTCCCCACAACAGCCCAGCCAAGGTAGCACAGTGGCCTTCACAAGCCCTGCTGATTTATCACTGCAAACAAAAAAACAGTCTCTCAGATGAGGCTCTCTCCCTCATTTAAATCTCAAATAGTTCAACACAGCACAGCATTGTGCTTGGTCCAATCCTTCAGCAAATTCCAGTTTGGATTTATATCCAAAAGCACCTTCTACTACCAACATAAAGTGCAATTCTTGGGTTTGGCATGCTTTCACCACTATTGACACAGCCAAAGCTATTTCAGGCTCCAACCAATTCCTGCAGAATCCAGCAAAACAACAGGCATGCAGCTTGCCACGGGAGCACCTCATGGCATGCCAGGCTGCTGTGCCTGGAGTGAGCCAGCTTGTAACCATGTGTCCCCAGACTCCTAGGGGGACAGCCCCTGCCACCACTGCCTGCTGGGTACAGCTAGTGTGGCATCAGCTAAGTGAGGGGCACAGCACTCCCCGCACATCTCCCTCTACCTCGAACAAGCACACAGTCAGGACCTGAGAGGCTGAGACCAGTAAGACACCAGCTTAAGCAGATGGGTACATTGGCTACACAACCCCCTCGCACACCACTAACACCTTGTGATCCTGTCACGGAGAGCAGTGTTCCCCTCGCTGTGCAAGCTTGTACCTGTACGTGACCTTACTGCAGGATGGCAAGGTTTCAAAAAACCCTGTGCTTGCATCTGCTAAGTTCACCACAGCGAGACAAAATCTAGCACAGTTTCCAAGAAAGCTGCTGTTCAGAAACACTCAGGAAAAAATAGGTTATCCTACTGAGTAAGACGATTTCATAGTATATTAAGGGGTTGGAATGGACCTTAGAAATCATCTAGTTCCACCATCTAGCCCTGGGCAGGGACACCTCCCACCAGAGCTCAAGGCTTTAGCCAACACGGCTTTGAACACTGCCAGGGTTGGGCAACAAGTGCCAGTGTCTCACCACCCTCAGATGAAAACCTTCTTCCTAATATCCAATCTAAATTTCCCTCTCCCAATTTATCCCCATTACTCCTTGTCCTATCACTCCAGTTCCTAATAAACAGACCCTCCCCAGCTTCCTCGTAGGCCTTTCAGATACTGGAGGGTTGCCATGAGGTCCCCACACAACCTTCTTTTCCAGGTTTCCTATCAGTCTTTGCAGCCACTGTGCCTCAACAAGACAACAGGTATTTCTGCAAATCTCATCCTACCCCCTCCACAGCTGCCACCAGGTTCTGGAGTACATTCACTTGGGGATGGAAAACATCCTGACTAGGGCCTCCAGAAAAGGGCCTTTTCCAGCAGCAGAGCCCCAGTCCAGCAGGCCCTGCTGCAGTGAGACAGGGGACATGGCAGCACACTGCCACACACCACTGCTACTGTGGACAATTAAGTAATTGATGGAGATCAAAGGCAACGCTCACACTGGGGTCGAACATGCAATGAGCTGGTTCTTCCCTACATCACCCTCAGGGCTCCCAAAGGAAGGATGGACCCAGTTCCAGATTACATCCTGCTCAGCAGGATCCTAATTTCACAGCATTGCTAAGGTTTTCCCTCTGGTTTTAGCACACCAGAGCAGCTGGAAGCTAATGCTTTCAGACTGAACTGAGCCAGGGAGCTTGCAGCAGCTCCAGACAGTTGCTGTCCCTGTTCAGGGGTAAGGAGTGTTACACAGCAGCCAAAGAGCTGCCATTGCAATCCAAGAACGTGATGCTCCGAGCTGTTCGCTCTGCTGGAAAGCAGCATCCCAGCCCACAGGCCAGCAAAGCATCCACTGCACATGGGGCTGGAGGGGAGCAAACAATGCAGAGCATTAAGGGCACCAGTCCACACACTACAAAGAGTCAAGCGGGCAATCAAGTGCCAATTGTGGAAAGGCAGAAGTCATACGCTGTGGGCACCAGCCCTGTCAGCAACTGGCAATGAGCTCAGATCGATCACTGCCTGGAAGGGAGCAGCATGAGGCATTTCTAGGACAGAAGATGAGGATCGGAGCTCTCACTTTCCTAAACCACTGCAGGTAGGCTCCAGCTTTCTCCTAGGCCCTGCCAGAGAGCTCTTTGGGAGGAAAAAGGGAAGGAAAATCAAGCATGTTTTGCTCTCTCACAACAGCAGTTTATGTAGAAAATCAAGCTTTGTGGATAGCATAGTCTGTTCTACTATTAAAACTTCAATGCTAATACAGAATTTCAGACAACTGTACCACAAAACAGCTTTCCCAGACACAGAGACCTCAGAGCAAATGTTAACAAGTTATCACAGCAAGTGGCAGTGTGGGCAGTGCTGAATGACTGCTAATCTCATCCCAAAAAGCTGAAGGGAAGTCTTGCACTCACTTATTCCTGCAGGCAGGTACCACAGTATCCAAGCAGCTCCATTTCCCTGCACAGTCCTCCTGCACTGCCTAAGAGAGATCACCCAACAGCACCTCACTGTGCTGTGGTACTGCAGACCACAAGAACCACTGGGTCCTTTCCAGAAGCAGGAGCAGGGATTGCACAGAGGACACTCACCAGCTGGATCACTGTGCCCAGCCCCAAGCCACATTTGGCACCAGGAGCAACGCCCTGCAGACGTGCTTCACAGCTCAGCGTAAGGAAGCCATAAGAGCAGTAGGCAAGTGCACAAAGCAGGCAGTGTCCCACATAGGACATGAGCTGCCAAGACAACCCCATGGCTGGTTCCCATTACAGCTGGCAGAGGAGCCTCCCCTGCTCTGGGTGGCCACCGCCATCTCCAGGGCTTTG